TCTATGTGGAGTATCTTTGAAGTGTATTTGGAAACTTCAGTTGGTCCAAAGAGCTGCAGCCAGATTGCTAACTGGGTTGGCTACAGGGATCACACAACTCCCTTGTTGCAATGGTTTCACTGGCTGCTGGTCCATTTCCAGACATGATTCAAAGTGCTGATTTTGACTGATAGAGCGATATATGACTTAGGTCTAATTTATTTGAAGGATCATGTTGTCCCTTGTGAACCCATCCATGTTTTGAGATCTGCTGGGGAGGCCCTCTTCTTTGTCCAATCACCCTCAAATGTACATCTGGTGGGAACACACAGAGGACCTTCTCAATGGTTGCCTCAGGTTATTGCATTCCCTTCCCTGACAGGTTAGACTGTCACCCTCTTTATTCTTTTCCCACAAAAAGGTGAAGACTTTTCAGTTTTGACAGGTTGAGGACCAATTGCTTACGCAGTGTGGCCTTGTACAATGTTTTATTTCTATTTGTTATTTTTGTCGTGCGATTATATTTTTTATGGTTTATGTTTTTAACTGGCTTTAAAACAGTATTTGGATAGTTTGATCACTCTTTCACTTTTGTGCATTGTAAACTTTTAGTTATTTTTAAATCTGTTCTAAGTAGCAAACTGGGAGAAAGATGAGAAGGTAATAATAGTAGTAGTAGAAGCAGCTGTAGTAGTAGTAACTGTTTTCAATGGGTAACCTGAAAGTTATAAGAAGCCCAGACCATGGGTAGTACAGAATGAGTCCAAAAAAATGGGCTATGTCATAAGGCCACATGACAAAAATCCCCCAAACCTCTCAATCACTTTCCAATCAATACCAAAAGCCTATCTACAAGAGCCCTTTTCTTTAAGGGTGATTCTGCATTGCTTTTCTGCCAGCATATAGCTAGAGAGCCAGTGTGGCATAATCATGTGAGCATTGGACTACAACTCTGGAGACCAGGATCTGATTCCCAGCTCAGTCATAAAACTCACTGGATGACCTTGGGCAAGTCACATTCTCTCAGCCTCAGGGGAACCGCCTCTGAACAAATCTTGCCAAGAAAACTCCTTGATAGGGCTGCCATAAGTCGGAAATGACTTGAAGGCACGCAACACACAACACAAAAAGAGTCTCTGAAGCACTATAGGGAAATGTCTTCTAATTTCATATACAAAAGCTAGAATGGCAGATGAATCTTCAAAACTAATGACAGGACAGCATTTTCTGCCATACCAATTATTATTATTATTATTATTATTATTATTATTATTATTATTATTATTATTATTTCTATCACGCCCCTCTGTAAACACAACCAGGGCAGCTTACAACTTTAAAAAATACAATAGAAATACAATATAAAACCCATAAACCCATCCATCCCTTAAAATAATATTAAACAATCAAGCTATTAAACTATACTTAAATACATCACAATAAAACAAAAAACACATTAACAGCAGTTGTGGCAGCAATAACAACAATGATAGTGGGGGAGAGATGGACTAATTCTTGAGACCATGATAATTATTCAAGAAAGGCTTGCTGGAAGAGATCCATCTTAACAGCTTTTTAAAACTAGTTAAGGTGGTGATATGACAGATCTCATCCAGCAGGCCATTCCATAACCTAAGGACACATCACCTAGTTGAGGGGGCATAGGGCAGGCTACATGGACCACACACCTCTATTCTCATTTTCTGCAGCTGCTCCCTGTCTGGTGCCCCCACATCTCCATCATTTTACATGACACAAATGACATCTTTATGTATTTCCATGTGCATAATTCAAATTGTGTGCCCTGCATATTCCTAATCTAAGCATTGCTGATTTTCAGAGTTGTACACTTTAAGACTGCAAGCTTTTACTACAGAGTGAGAACTGGTCGCCCTTATTAGAAGGATTTACAAGGCTTCAGCAAGAACACCATGCAGGTATAGGGCTGCAGAGTGAATAGCAGTGTCAGGCATATGGAATTATGCCACGCAGCAACCACACACTGGCATATGGGCATACAGGAGCCCCTGAGGTCAGCAAGCAACTGCTGTCAATTGTGAGTGCTCCTTGGGCCAGAGCTGTGAAGCCCCAGAGAAAAAACCTGGCCTATTTATCCATAGCAATTTGGGCAGGTGGAGGCAACAAAATGTCCAGTACAAGTGCTGTTTCCTCTCCAAATAAATTTTAAAGAAACATTCTGGTTCCCTGTGATGAAAAGAAGGCTTTTTTTTTTTTTTTGCCATTCTTGATTAATCCCCCAGTTAATGTTTAAAAAGGTGACTTTTGGCATTGAGCACACTTGACCAAAGTAGTTTGAAGCTAAGTAATGCCTAACTATTTATAAGATTCGTCATACTTCCTTTTTTAGAAATAGCATTTAGATTAGCTATAGGGCTAATTTATTGTCTTGTAACTCCTTTCTGTGTCTTGCATGCAGTATTTGAATCACATAAAAAGAAAACTGTATACATATCAGGTTTCCAATAACTGATCTCATCCAGGACTGGATGCCAAATTATCTAATTCTAGATGTAAGGACTCAGATTAACTCCTTAGGCTCACAGTTCTTGCCATTCAAAGTGGTTTTGCTGCCGGGTTGATATGTATGTCTACCCCATGGCTAAAGCACTTTCCTCCTCCCTCTCTCTGTTTGGATCAGCATAATCTCTGATGAAGTACTTTACTATCAGACCTTTATGGAACTTCTTTGATTTTTCAAGCTGCTCCAAATACCACTACTGTCACTGTAAAAGGAAATAGCAAAGATTTTTATAAGCTGTTCATCAGAGCTCAAATCTTCTGATAATAAAATCCTTGTAGAAGTCCAAGTGCCTTCACCTCAAGGTTCAACTATGTTGACTTCAATCAAAATTACTCATGATGTTCATGAGGCGAATCAGCTACAAAAATATCCATTGAAAAGAGTGAAATATGTGATTATTTTGTACACTTAATACTAAGTAGTTTACAAAAACTGGAAAATATTTTGAATAAATTTGCCAATGTCTTATTATCATAATCAATACTAATACCAATGCCTTAGTACAAAGTTTCTCCATGGTGTAATTGTTAGGATATAGATGGGTTATACAGTCAAAGGTGAAATGTAAAGATGTATGTGTATCTGTAATTTTCCACTTGAAAACAGCTTTTGGGCAAAGCACAAACAACATCTAGAAAAACAAAGTGAATCAACACCAGGTGGTTACACAGACATAAACAATATACTTTCCCAAAGATAGAACTCTGGACACAGACTTTATTATGGAAAGGCTTGATAACAATTATACGTAAACATTGTTAGGCTTGGGGAAATAGTCACGTGGTGGATGATGGACAGCAAGAGGCTGGGTTAGTAGACATCATACAGACATTATCCAATTAACATAAGGTTAACACCTAGAAGGTGGAATATGGGAAGGGCCTAGAAAATCCTTTGTCTAGTTTGTTTATTGTTCAAGATGTGAGCACGTGTGTGGCTGGAAACAGTGGTTTCAACTATAACATGTTGAGATATTAAGTTTTTGGATTGTTAAAGATGTAATCTTGTATGGCTGAACTGGACAAGTTCATCACAATGGATTTTATTTAGTTATTTTATTTTTACTTTTATATGCATTAAGAAAACTATGTTTTTGGACTTTACAATGTGTCTTCTTGACTGAGGAAGACAGGATCCTGAAGGAGGGAAGCTGAGCCAGTTGATGGTAAGAGTTACAAAGTGGCTGTGGATCACAGCAGCCAGCTTGTCCTGCAGATTCTGCTGGGTGCCAAAGAGCATCACTACAACACTCATCATCCACACACTAACAAGGGTTACGGGCCCAGTTAAGACTGTCTTGCCAGTCTGTGGCTTTATGTTGTTGTTGTTGTTGTTGTTGTTGTTGTTGTGTGCCTTCAAGTCAATCCTGACTTATGGAGGCTTAAGGCAAACTGATCATGTGTTGTTTTTTTTGGCAAGGTTTGTTCAAAGGAGGCTTGCCATTGCCTTCTCCTGAGGCTAAGGGGGGTTGCAGACTGTCAGAAATAGTGCAAATTCAGTCCACTTTTAGGGTTAGGGTTAGAGCTAGGGAATCATGGGGATTGTTTTTTTTCTGAGACATTGAGCCTTCTCTGTCAGAGAGCTCTAGTGCCACAATAAACTACAGTTCCCATGATTACCTAACCCTAACCCTAACCCTAAAAGTGGACTGAATTTGCACTTTTTCTGGCAGTCTGCAACCCCCCTAAGAGAATGTACCTTGCTCAAGATTCCATGGCCAAACTTGAAATTGAACACTGGTCTCCAGTGTCTCCTGGTCCTCAAAGTCCTAGTTGAGCACTATGCCATGCTGGTAGAGATACAAAAATGTGTCCAGTAACCTGGCACAAAAGAGGGCCAGTGTTTCAGACTAGTCACTCTCCATTCCCAGTAGTATTTATTCATTTTAAAGGGCCCCCCCCATGTCCAGCTGAGAGGAAGGCTTTATGGCTTCCACTCAACTCAGCTTCTAGTCATCTTTACAGCAGACTGTCTGAATCAATGGAAATTGATAAGTCAATATATATATGAGTTCCAGTGATTTAATCATTCTATGATATTTAGGCCTAAGAGGATAAGTAATGAACAGCCATGGATTGGGACAGTGGGGGGTATTGAAATATTCACACAGATCACTTAACACATTTTTGTCTCTGTGCCTGAAACTCTAGATAAAAAGGTCACGAAATCTCCAGAACAAAAGAACTAGGAAATTACACATAAATCTGGCAGCAATTTGTATAATCTCACATGCTTGAAAAGTTTTGCCTCAATCTGTAATCAGGTTCCTCTATGACTGTAGCAGGGAATTTCATCAGATTTGGAGGTCAATTTTTTTGCCTGACCCCGCTGGGGGTTGTTGTTGTTGTCATCATTGTCATCATCATTTCTTATTTATGGCAACCCTAAGGTTGGCAAGTTTCTTCCGAAGATGTTTGCCATTGCCATCCTCTGAGGCTAAGAGGGAGTGACTTGCCCAAGGTTACCCAGCGAGTTTACATGGCCAAGCCAGGATTTGAACCCTGGCCTCCAGAGTCATAGTCCAACACTCAAACCACTATGCCACACTGGTTCTCAATTATGCCAATAAAAGATTGCAATAACACCCAAAGTCAGGGGAAATTGGAACTAGAGCGAAGCCAACTTTAAAATTTTGTAAGATGCTTTGAAAATACATGGTAAACATAAATACTATTACTACTACAGCAGGAGCATCATATATACCTATTACCAATCATTAATCTCACCAACTTTTCTATTAGTTTATCTCTACTTGTACTGGTGAACATGTGCCCATCAACATTATACTTTGCAAAAAGTGACTTGAATAATTTATAAAGCTTACCCAACTCTGAAATTAGAGTTGATAGACAACAGGTCCTGGCCACCACTATATTTTTTCCTCAGTATCAGACAAGTTGCTTTACCAGGCAGCAGTGATTAACATAGTTTCTTTATTAGCTGATATAATAAAACCAGTGCCTTTGGAAACACTTCAGAGAACTTAACTAAAATAAACAAGCTCTTGAACTTTGAATATCTAACAAGAAGTTATTGATAAGTGTGACTTTACTTGGTAAATCTTAGTCACTGGCAACTTTAATACAACAATCTCAGGGACAATTCGGTCACCAGTTGCTGAGGCAGCTCAGTGAGACTGAACGGTTTCCATTTATACGATGGACCAAGATTACCTTCTTTTGAAAATATCTGCACATGAAAACCATGCTTCACTTAGCTTTGTTCAGTCTCAAACAGTTATCAGTGATAGACATACAAGTTAGTGTATATCAAGTGCTGTGAGAACTCATTGTTTTCTATTCACTAGAGTAGTGGCCCCCAAACTTTTTCAGGTTGCTGCCCCCTTTCCTGTTGGACAACAGACCTTGTGCCCCCCAACACCTATTTCTTTGGGTGCTGCTCCCTTTGCACCCAATCACTTTGGGATCAGCAACTGAGCAGCTGGCTGGGCAGCAACCAAGGCTGGGCAGCAACCAAGAAGCCTCTTGCCAGTGGTAAAGGCTGGCACAGGTGAGAGGCTTCTCAGTTGCTGCTCGACTAGCTGCTTGGTCACCACTGTCTTTGCACTTGTTGCACCATCAGAGCAGCAACCATGCAACTGGCTGAGCAGTGACAGAGAAGCCTCTTACCCACTCCAGCTTTGTCACAAGAAGCTACTTGATCATTGCTCAGCCAGCTACTTGATCACAACCCTCGTGGCGCAGTGGTTAAATGCCTATACTGCAGACACTCACTCATAAACCACAAGGTTGAGAGTTCAATACTAGCCAGGGATCAGGCTAGACTCAGACCTGCATCCTTCTGAGGTCACTAAAATGAGTACCCAGCTGTTGGGGGACAATGAGCTTACAGATGTAAACCACTTAGACACTCCATAGTGTGGTATGAAGTGGTATATAAATGAATCTGCTTTGCTTGCTTTGCTTTGCTCCCAAGATGACCAAGTGCAAAGGGAGACGCTTCTTTCCAGCAAGGAAGGACTCTCAATCCTTCTTTGTTGGGGCGGAGAGAGTGCAGCCAGCCCCCCCCCCATTGCTTCTTCCTCACTACTGTGTGCTTTTCATTCCTTTCTCCAGTCTGTCCCACAGAAGTGATGCTGTGCGCCCAAACCTCACAAGAATTTCCTACCACTTACTAGGGAAAGATTTGGCTATGAGAGTGAGCTTGCTCAGGCTGGTAAAAAGCAGGAGATACCACCATATGAAGTGAGGCATCATGGTGGTTTTAAGGGACCTTGAAAAAAAGTTTTCATTCCCACCATGGTCCTAAAGGCCACTGCTTCCCCTTGTTTAACTTGTGCACCAATACTTTAACTGAAGACTCCTCTGCCACCCACTTGTTCCCACACTGCCCCCCTACTGCTCTCTTTCCCCTTACCCAGATCTTTCCAATTTCCTGGAGGGGCATACCACCCACTTTGGGAATTCCTGCACTAGAGAATTAGATATGAACTCAGGTTTCTGACATATAATGGATCGTTGCATGGTAGACACACACACACACACACACACATGTAACAACTGGGAATTTACCACAGTGTGGAAGTAGCCACTTAAGTCCAAATCACACTGCAGAAATAATCCAGTTTGAGACCACTTTAATTGCCCTGGCTCGGTGCTAGGGAATCCAGGGTATTGTAGTTTATTGTGGAACCAGAGCACTCTGACAAAAAAAGGATAAATTGTCTCACAAAACAACAGTTCCCAGGACTCCTTAGCATTAAACCAATGCAGTTAAAGTGATCTCAAACTTGATTATTTCTGCAGTGTGTTTTGGACCTTAGTTAGCTTGTTCTCAGCTTTTTTGACTAACAAATTATTCCAAGAACCTGCCCACAATAATCTTGTTCTTTGTTTTCTTTCCTATTAAATACCTTCAAGATGACTCAAACCTTCCCTCCCTTCCTCTATAGCTAAGACAGTGTCACCTACACAAAGTTACCTGGTAGATTTCCATGACTGATGGGAATTCAACTCTGGTCTCCCAGAGTCCTAGCCCTAGTCCATATGGACCAGGATACTCTGGGAGCATCCTGAAACTGTTCTGAGGTTCCCTTCTTTCCTAGGGTCCTCCACTGTAATGCTGGGCAGCTGTTTGCATGCACATCTCACTGTATTGGCTCTTGCCTCCATTGCTGGTGTGAGTCACTCACTCTGAGGTCAGAATTGGATCTAGCCTTGAGCAATACTGCCACACCATTAAGTTGTGACAAAACAGTTTAACCAAACAGCAAATACGTAGTCAGTGATCCAACAAGTAGAAAACCTCAAAGCCCCACTGCTGGAGGAATGTTGCATCCCCCCATAAAACAGACCATAGTGAAGTCTATGCTTATCCACAGGTTATAATAAAATCCATAATTTTGCCCCCAAACCTTGATCTTGACTTATACATGAGGTCGACTTATAGACAAATATATATGGTATTATATACCCCCCTCCCAAAATGGGATTAAAGGCAGTTTTATGGGACTCAACTATGTCCCTCTCTTCTTTTTCTGGTTTGAGCTCCTGTTCCTTGCATCACAGTTTTTCTACTAAACCATGTTAGTTCAATAGGATCACACAACTCCACAAAATTTACACTAAAACTTGCAAAATGTTCTGATTAACATGATGAAAACCCTAGAATACTGCAAGAAAAAATATTTCAAAGTACTACCTAATTATTTGTACACTCTCTCACACACATATATATTCTATAATAATAAAAATATTAATAACACAATCTTCCTATATGATCATCTCTAGAAAATTTTCTAAAAAGTACATAGAAATCTTGGTTAGACAAGTCAAGGTGGCTGTATAATTTGGTGATATGCAAATTCATTTAGGGCAAGGGTAGAAATTATATGGCATTCAAAATGCTGCTCAATGGCAACTTCCACAATTACTTACCATTGGCTTTGTTGGCTAGGGCTGCTGGGACTTGCAATCCAACAATACCTGGAGGAGCAAACATTTCCTACTAGGAAAATATCTGCTATCGATATGCAGCCTTATTTTATCCATATTCTCTTGGAAATGTGTATTCATATGTTTGCATCCTGAGATTCTTGCTGGGTTTTTGTTCAAAACCCCTGTTCAAAATCCTTGAAATGCTGTGGGACAAAGTGAATCCCACTGCCATGTGATAAAGTGCATTGAAGTACTTCTCATGCAAGAAACAGCTTTTAAAAACCTCTGAAATACTATCACTTATAATTAGGTTTAACATATAAAATGGCTGAGTAATTTAAATGTTTGAAAAAGAAAACAGTCTTTCCTAGAGTTTATGAAGTGGTAAGCTATTTCTCATAATGATTAACTGTGAATCATCATTTCAAACATGAGCATCTAGGAGCATATGCTTTATACCACTGATGCTGTGAGGGAGTACTTATTAACCAAATTAGTAGGTTCAGTTTTCATCACAGCCTGAATTTTTACACAGCAAAAGTCTATTGACCTGTGGAAATAGTTTCTTATTTTCACAAGAGAAATTAATTCATATTTTGGCCATTCCTAAATAACATTTTGAACTGCTCATTGAAATTAAATAGTCTTTGTAGAGTATTTACTAGAACTTCCCCTTTTATAGACCCAGTGCGATGTAGTGGTTTGAGCACTGGATTATGGCTCTGGAGTTGTTGTTGTTAATGCCCTCAATCTGATCCCAACTCATGGCAGACCTATGGCTACGACATCTCCAAGACCCTCTCTCCTCCACTGCTCTGCTTAACTTCTGAAATCCTTTAATACCCGTGACCTCCTTAATAGAGTCCATCCATATGGTCTTCCTCTCTTCCTACTTCCCTCCACCTTCCCCAGCATTA